CGAAGATTTGGATAATCTATAAAAGAGATAGATGGATAGATCTATAAAACTATTATCTTACCTAAGTCCTTTATGGATGAGAAACGTGGCCGCTTACATTAAGGGATGAGCAACGTCTTAAGGTTTTTGAAAATAAAGTATTGCGCAGAATATTCGGACCGAAGAAGGATGAGATAACCAGAAGTTCAGGATGAGTTCAGACGGTTACAAAACACCGAATTGCGTGAACTGTATTCGGTTAATATAATTGAGGTGAGTACATCGCGGTGAATCAAATGGGCTTGTAAAATTGTTGGGCTTGGTAATGAAAGAATTCCTAAAAGATTAATATTTGCTGTACCGTATAGTAAACATCCGAGGGGTTGAAGATGGGAAGATTGCGTTAAAGCTGATCTGAAGGGATTGGGTTTGGACGGCGAACGATGGAAGGAGGTGTGTAATAAACAATTGGTGGTGTCGGCATCGAACCTTCGGGTTCGCTAAGCCTTTTATTATTATAAGGGTAAATTATTATGTTATGGTGGCGCATCAAGTTTTTTTTAACTTATCGGATTTGTTCAACATTAGGGTTCATTTATATTTTGTCTCGAGAGATTTTTATTAAAATTCTATTGTCTTTAAGATTGCGCATTCATTTTTTGTAACTTATTGAATTTATTAGATATAAGGGACCACTATTATGTTGTGGGAGGGGCTTTTTATGAAAATACTATCGGTTTTAAGATTGCATAAACGTGCTTCAAGTTTTTGTAAGTTATTGTATTTAATAGATATAAGGTTCCATTATTTTATTGTCAGAGGCGCTTTATATAAAAATATTGTCCGATTTAAAATTTCACAATGGTGCATCAAGTTTTTTTAACTTATCGGATTTATTTTATATAAGGTATGATATTCGAGAACCTCTTTACAAAATACTGTCAGATTCAAAATTGAGTTATCGCAAATCGAGTTCTTGTAAACTTTGGGATTTGTTCGATATTAGAGTTCATTTTTATGTTGTCGAGGGCGGTTTTAGTGAAAATATTGTCGGATTTGAAATTGCACAATCCTACATAAATTTTTTTCAAACTTAACTGATGTCTTCAATATGAGGGACTATTGCTGTGTTGCCGGGGGCACATTTTATCAAAATACGTTCGGATTAAATATTGTGCAGAGAATTTTGTTCATTGTATTTTAGATGATAAATATTTTAATAAATCATTATTTTTAACATTTTTTTTCTTCAAATAAATAAATAGTGTATTTATGAATTTATTTTTATTATAATATATCTCAGGTGGTGGAAAAATTAATTAAAGCTTTGTAATAATTTATTGCAGTCTTTTTTACTGATATACATATATATATATATATAAACTTGTACCACTACAAACTCATGAAGGGTCCTAAGTTCAGTTCTTTTTAAGGAAGTACTGTTTCAAGGCCTATGATTGTGCAGAAAGACGATAGGGTCAAGATCATGCTCAACTATCAGGTTTCCCCCTTAATTTTTATTTTAATCAAGAGTATCCACTTTATGGGTGTGCTCCAGGTGGGTCTCCCTACCCCAATGTCAATCCACAGCTGGTGTAATAAAATAATTATTTACTTGGAATCAGAAGAAGGAGAATAACAGGGATTGACATTGGGTCATAAAAGGGTGTCCTGTTAGTCAAGGGAAATATTTATAGGAATGATAGCAGACCTTAAGAGATATAAATAAGTTTATATAAACAATGGGCCAATTTTCAGCAGAACCTTTTTTTTTTTACTTCAAACGAAGGTAGAGTGTGTAATTGTTAAAACCATTTAAGAGAACTTTTGAGTGGCTAAACTAAGCTAAATTCTATTTAAAACATCATGAATTATTTGCATTTTTCTTTTTATCATCCTCCAAATATAAAGAAACCCCACTTTTAGAAAAACTTCCTCATTTAATAAGCTTTATTTTTTTATTAATTAAGTTGAGGTTTATTAGTGAAAAAGTCGAGATTCACCCCAATTTGTGTAAAAAAATGAAACAATTTTATATTATGTCACCTAAAAGTGCTCATGTTTATATATATATATATATATATATATATATATATATATATATATATATATATATATATATATATATATATATATATATATATAAGAAAGATAATTAAAAAAATTATATATATATATATATATATATATATATATATATATAAGAAGACTTCTAGACTTCTATCATAGCCAATAGCCTTCTATCCAGTTTTTAAGTGGTATAATAAGAAAATCAGGAGCTTTTAATAAGGTTAGATTGCCTTTTATTGTAATCTACCTGAATCACAATTTTTCTAAACAAGAAAATAGAATAATAATATTATACTTCGAAGTACTGAATTAAATGAATAGGATATAGAAGATTACAAAAACAAAATCTTAAGTCTTCCAAATATCAGTAAATTATTAGGAAGTCAATGTTTTGCTAGTTAGTGATAGGATGTTAGAACAAAAATTAAAATTAATGGAACTTTAGAATAATAATTATATTTTGTCGAATAAAAACAAAATGCAAATCAATAGTTTTATAATTAATATTTAGCTTAAATGGTATAAATGATTCATGAATTACAAAAATTCAGGATGTTAACAACCTGGAAAACTCCACAAATTTGACCTGGAAGATTAAGGATTTTTTTTCTCCCAGGTCTTCAAGAAAAAAAGGAGTAAGTTTCCATTAAGGTTTGTATTACATGTTTTTTTTGCTGTTGTTATTTCAGTACTAAATGTATGTAATAAGATCAGTTTTACATTAGATCTGTTTAACCTGAAATAAGAGGTAGATCAGTTTTACCTTCCTATCTGGGTGAATGCACGTGAAATAAAAAAAATGAAAATGAAAGAAATTCTTTATTATTCTGGAACAAATTGCATTTAATAAAAAATTAAATAATCATATAGTGGACATAACAGTGTGGTGCATCTTAATTAAATTATAATGTTGGGGATCGACTAATATACACCTAAAAATTTACAATATACACTGACAGGCAAAAAATTCCACCCACTTGTAAAAAAAGTTGTATTTGTAGATAATACTTTGTATTTATGGAATTTTATAATCTTTTTTACCTTTAATAATCAAAATGTGATTGGGTAAGAAAGATTAGAGGAAAAAAAATTGAAAAATGAACCATTATTATTCTAAAAGAAATTAATTACATCATCGTTTAGTAGAGCGTGTTTCCTCCTCTTGCCTTCACTACTTCTTGAAGACGCCTCGGCATACTTTCCACCAGACGGAAAATGTCTCTTTGCTGGAGGATAGCCCATTCCTCCTGAAGAGTCCTTTTAAGGTCCTGCAGTGTACCAGGAAGTGTTGCACGCGCTCTTATTTGTCTTCCAAGGTTATCCCATAAATGCTCAATGGGGTTCAAATCTGGAGAACATGCTGGCCAGGCTAAAACCTCAATATTGTTCTGTTGAAGGAACGTTTGCACTATGCGAGCGACATGTGGGCGTGCATTAGAATAGAACGATCGCCGATTTCGTTGAGGATAGGCAACACATGAGGTTACAAAATCTCATCTACATAGTGAATGGCCGTCAAAGACCCTCCACGAACAACAACCAATTCTGTGCGGCGCTCCATTGAAATCCCAGCCCACACCATTAAGAAACAACGTTGGAAAGGTTGGCTCTGGGAAAAATTACAGGCTGTATATCTTTCATTTCTTCTTCTCCACACCATTTCACGCCTATCTGGAGATCGAAGAGCGAATCTTGACTCATTTGTAAAAAGTAGAGCACTCCATTCGTCCATAGTCCAATGGCTGTGTTCTCGAGCAAAAGCCAGCCGTGCTACTCTGTGAGTTCTGGTCAACTCTGGCCCTCTTACTGGACGAAAAGCGATTAATCCATACTCATTTAATCTTCTCCGAGCGGTACGTTCAGAAATTTGCACACCTCGAACTTCTTCGAGCTGATGAATCGCTTGAACAACAGTAAGGTGCCGGTTTCGTAAAATTCTTAAAGTCAAAAACCGGGCCTTCTATTGTAAGAACCAGTTTCCCGAAAACGCCTGACAGCGTCTCGTAAAGTTTCATATGGAACTCCGATGGCATTAGCTGCATATCTAATGGAATGTCCATTATCAATAAGTGCCACACCACGTGCAAAATCCTCAGCACTAAGAGGCATTTTTAAACTTAATATTGAAAAAATTAAAAGCCGGAGACTAAGAAATGTGCTGCAAGAAACCGAACTGAACTAATGATACTGAATAAACATTTTGATTCCATAGAAAGTAAACATTGGAATTTAGAATCATTTCATTGAATTAAGGATTAAGGGTTATTGTCCTCTATATTAACATTCCTAATTGAAAACAAACAAAAAGATTACCTATTTATTCATTAAAAACAATAGACCAATCCAAAGCAAAAATATTTTTAGATGAAAACATGAAAAAATCAAGTGGGTGGAATTTTTTGCCTGTCAGCCTATATTAACTACTTTTTTAAATGAGTTTTCTGATAGATGTTTCCAATAAACCTCCGATTTTTTCAAAAAGATCTATTTTTTCCCAGTCATTAGATATTATATACAGTTGTCGAAGGAAATGGAAAATGAGGTAAATTTAACAGATTCGATGGATTGGAAAATATGGTAATTAATTGCTTTAAATGGAAATTTTAAGCCATCTATAATTTTTACATTCACTTCCCAATAAATAAACATACCTATTTCTACTCTAAGTAGAGTATAAGTGAAAGTTGTGTGAAGAGTGTACCAAACCAGAGTTTTTGAAAAGTTTTAGTAAAATATTATTAGAGAGAAATTAAAAATTTAGAGAAAATAAAAACATACCAAAATTAAAAGAATATATTTAATAAAATAGGTATTATTATTAATTTAAAGATTATTTACTTTTCTTTATTATAAAAGAAGAACTTATAAAAAATAGTTTATTATTGAACAATTGATACAGCTTACAATAAAGTTAAGTGATTGGATTTTGATTTTAAATATCAAAGACTAACCTTATTTTTCAACAAACTCTGCTACTTTCGGCATTCAATGTACAGTCAGTTCTGATTACTGGAGACCACTCGTCATGTTGGAGTAGCTTATGTGAAGTAGTGCCCAGAAAACTAACAAAGATGAGTTTAATATACTTACTAAATTTACTTCAATACCCTAACTTTTATTTATTTCAAAACTAGCATGGATCATCCCATCAATTCATAATAAACTTTTTTATCAACAGGGTAGTAATTATAGGGAAAATTTATGTATTTCAAATTTATAAGTTAAATAAGAATAATTTGACTACAATTAATATACATAATATTTTTTAATGTATACCTTATAAATAATATTGTAAAAAATATGATAAAAAAAAACAAAGGTATATTAAGCATACAAATTTAAATTTAAATATCAGGAGACAGAAATAGTCCAGTAATAGTAATAGTCATTCAAAATAGAAATTTGAATCTTCAGCATAATAATAAATTTTAGGCAGATTCTTTTCACTTCATTGTTAAAACAAAACTGGGACAAAACATTCCAATTATCTATCTTCATATATAATACAATAGTTTTTCGCTGTGTAGATCCCTTTTCTGGCTTTCAGGAGAGATGGATTTTGATAAATGAGGTTTCAAATAAAAGGATATTACATTAAGCAATGAAAAATCATGGTAACATCCCCCCAAAATTTCAGGAAAAAAGGTATGAATGAATAGAAACTTTATTTGCGAATAACTTAAAAAATTAACTTTTTTTGTTGATTGTACCCATGATTTTTTTTAAAAGATTACTAAATTTCCTACACATTAAAAAAAAAATCATAGAAATCGCACCATTATTTTTAAAGATACAGTACAATAATAATGTACACATGCTTTAATTTATTATTTTGAATGAAATAATGTGATTCAACTGAGAAAATGTAAATTATGTCTTCCATCTCATAGTACACATCAATAACTTATTTTTATATTATATTATTAATTGTTCACTGATCAACATTCTATGCGAATTCTTCGCATGGGCCAACTCGTTTGTTAATAATTCTGATAACTATCTATAGTATTGATGTATCAAATATTATATTTATTTATTTAGATTAGATTATTCCTTGCCTGGCATTACGTTATTTAAAATGATAAATTTATTATTAAAAATTCAGTACGGGCAAGGTTCCTTAACTCAGTGCTGATCTCATTGATAACATCGGATCTGTCTCTAAACGGGGGCCAAACGATGCCATCAATGAGCTCAGCACTGAGTTTAAGAACTTGTCCCATGCAAAAATTATTATGTAAACCCAAAATAGCTCCAAAATATTTATGTAATGTATTGGTGAAAAGCAATTGGACACTAAAAGACACATGCGTTATCAATTTTGGCTTAAACTAGAGGAGCGGGATATAAATGTAAATAAAAATTAAAATAACTTTAATATAAAACAATCATTAAGCTAAACAACAGGAAAAATATATCGGTTTTTTTTTAATGGTTTACCACTCTGATGAGTGACTGTAATAAAAATGAATTTCATTTTATAAATTAAGTAACAATAATCTCTTTTTTTTCATATTTTAATCGCAATACAATTAACACTTACTTCAGTTAAATATCTGGATCTTAAAAATCTACAGTTAAAGAACAAATATGAAAATTTTATATAATAGTACACAACGAAAATAAAATAAAAAATATTGGTACAATCGGAGCAGCAGTAAAAGTTAGTAAAATACGAATCATACCAACAAAACCTGCATCAGGATAAAATTTAAAGAGAATGTATGAACTATGACTTATTTAATGTCCATTACAAACATAAATAAATATACATGTGGATTTGTATTTATACCATTTTAATAAATAGGCCTTAAAAAGTGTAAACTATGAGGAAAAATAAATGAGTGACAACAATAATACGATAAATAAAACTTACACAGTCCGACAATGAAACAAAGAAGGATAATGCAGAAGATACAAACATAAACATAACCAACATCAATCACTAGCCCAATAGAGACATGGTCAACCAACTGATTAAAAGCTGAGCTTCACACGTTGGTGTGTGGGTGGTGGTGGGAGGGGGTAGTTGGCCCACTATCTGTGTCCGCCTATGATAGCAAGGCTCGGGGTCGCATACTCAGCTTCTTATCTACAGCTTATCTGTTGTATGGTCCTTTGAGAAACTATATCTGTTGGCTTATTTCCACTTCCCTACTGGCTACAATCATTCTTTTCATATTTATATTGTATTAAATGTCACTGATGGATCCCATTGGGTGGATTCCATTGAAAAAAATTGTAAAATTGATAAACTGGCACTTCCGGTTAGCTGATTTTAACGAAACTACCTTAAATTTGTAGTTTCAGTTTCGTTTTTCAGGTAGTCTGGTTTTTCGTTGAAAACTCGGATTCGAAATTGTTCACGATCACATTTCCCCTTGATACATAGGTAAGTGAAAGTAAAAATAAATATTAATTCAGAAATTAAAAGTTTTTATTAATAATCCTGTCCCAAAACATTCAAACGATTTTAAAACGCCTCCTTATTCCCATTTTCGGTATCACAACCCTTGTAATAAGATAGGTGTAAGGTTTTTTTTTTTTCCTTTTTTTCGACATTCAACTAATAATCTTACCAAATGGTCTAGACCAAAAAAATATATATATTTTCGTGATGAATTAAAAATTTTCAGATTAACGCTATGACAACCAGCTTTAATTTAATACTTTCTTCTTAAGAACTAGGTGTAAGGAATTTAGTGGAATTGGGCAAAGGATGAATTGTTCGTAGGGGGCTCTCTATATCACAAGCGGATTCCAGGGCGGGAGGGTGCTATATGTCTGAAGCCCCTTCCGTAATAAGTTTTATTATCATTGGACCCATATATATTTGTTTCTATGTATGATCTGAGCCAAAGACTTTAAAATCACAATATGTTGCGAAAGCTGTAATAAAGCATGTACTTTAGCTACTAAATGCGAGTACGTGTCAAGAAAAGATATAAAACTATTATCCATCATTTTTACCTCCCAATATTGAATCCTGAACTCACTGCTGTTGTATTCACTGATAATCACAAACATCCTTCTAACCAAGAAAATTTTTATTTACAATTTTTATAGAAATAAAAATAATTAAAACAATTTTAGATTATGTTATTTATGTTATGGGTCCATGGCCGGGAAGCATCAGGCAGAGCTGGAGTCAGGCAAAAGGCTGATGTACTGCGAAGGGTAGGTTGAGCTCTTAGCCATGGAGAAGATCCCAATCTACCTTGGGATCCCAACTGCTGATTAACGGAGGGACCTCTTTGTCCCCGCGGAAGGGGCCTCTCCTGCTGAGAGAGAGAATCATTGATTCAAATCACACAAAGTTGCCTCGGATTAGACACGGCACTCGGAAGGACATCAGATTCGGACCGTGAAACATAAAGACTGACTGGCAAAGAGATTGAAATATTAGGAAGCTAACAATAGAGGAGGGGATGGAGGCCTAAAGGGTATACATATTGGGAATTGGCGAAGTAAGGAGGAAAGGACAAGGAGAAATAAGACTCGACAAAGGCTATGGGCTTATTTACTCAGGAGTGGCGGCTGGACTGAGGCCCAAGGAGGGGGTTGGCATGATAGTAAAAAGGCTGTTTGCCAAAGTAGAAGACTGGGAGCCAATCTCTTTGTTGTGCAAGTGTACGCCCTAACTGAGGATGCTGATTTCTAGAAAGGGAACAATTCTATGCGGATCTAGAAAGAGAAATCATAAGAGGTCAAAACCAAATCAGAGCCATTATTATAATGGGTGACGTAAGCGCAAGGACTGAGAGAGACCATGATATGGCACACAGTGTGATGGGACTAAATGGAGGTGAGCATACCAAGAATATAAATGGTCAGAGGCTCATAGAACTCTGCATCGATTATGATCTTCTTATTGGCAACTCCATGTTTCTTCATAAACTAGTCCATAAGATCACGTTTTCTGCTAAGGAAAGAAATGCAAAAGCATTATAGATTATTTTATATAAAGCAGAAACATCAGAAGATATTTTAGAGATGTAAAAGTCATAAGAGGAGCAGAAATAGGGTCAGAACATTATCTCTTGATTAGAGACACTCAAATCCTCCAACCTAGGAATTATTTTAAGAAGAAATATAAGAAAATAGATATTTGAAAGTTGCATAGACCAGAGAAGAAAATATAGTATGCCGAACTCCTTACACAAAAACTCCAGAATTGCACAATGGATAGAAATGTGGACAACATATGGGCAGAAATGAAAAAAGATATCCTGGAGATAGCGGAAACCGGATGTGGAACAGCAGCGATCTCCGCTAAAGCAAAAAAACAAAGTGGTGGAATGAGAGAATTAAAGCAGCAATTGCAAGGAAACAGCTGGCTTGGAAAGCATACTGCAAGACCAAAAGTGCAGCGGACTGGGAACTCTATGCCAGGAGAAGAAATGAAGCCAAAAAAATAGTTAGAGTGGCAAAGAAGATGAGCAAGGAGGAATTTGTTCAGAGCCTCTAAAATGACTACAAAGAAAACATAAAAACATTTTGGAAAACTATGAAGGCATTGAAAGTGAAGACAAATAAGCCCACAAGGAATATAAAGGACGAAGGAGGACTACTGGTAACTAAAGATGAAAACATCTAGAAGAAATGGAACCGCCATTATGTTGAAATGTTTTCCAATGAAAGCGAGGAAACAGCTGCGGATTGGATATTACTAGAAGAAGATTACGATGAAGGGCTATAGAAAAGCTAAAGACCGACAAAGCAGCAGGGAGGGATGGCATTGCCCCAGAACTAATTAAGTTTGGAGGACCAGAACTGCAGAAAAATCTGCAGGACCTCTTTCAAGCAGCTTTTTCTAAAAAAACTGAGTGAGAGTATAACATTCTCATTCCTATACACAAGAAAGGAAGCTCTAACGACTGCAAGAATTCCAAACCAATATGTCTCTGCCAAGTGGTTGACAAGCTCTACACACCCATCCTTGAATGAAAGTTGAGAGAAATCGTAGAAGGAAACCTCGAAGAAGAGCAGGCATCATTCAGACCGCACCGCCAGACTCCATACCACGTATTCTGTCTCAGGGCTATCATTGAAAAGACTTCGGAATGAGGGAAGAGCATGTTTCTAGCTTTTCTTGGTATGAAGGCGGCATTTGATTCGGTCCATAGACAAGAAATATTGGCAGCTCTAGCCTCAAAAAAGGTACCCAATGCACTAATAGATGTTATGAAATCCACGTACCGCAATACAAAGGGCGTAATAAGAATATATGGAAAGGAATCCGAATCTTTCGAAATGAAAAAGGGATTAAAACAAGGAGACAGCCTTAACCCTCTATTGTTCATCATATTCATATGGATGAAATTCTAAAAATATGCAAGAGAAGGACAGCACGAACAGTTGTTAGGAAGTGGAATATGAGGACAATCCTTGCTCAGGCTATGGATTTTGCTGATGACATTTTTCTCATAACAGATTCGAAAGAAAACCTGCAGCTAGCAATAATAGAGTGGAAAGCTGTGCTGGATAGAAAGGGAATGATGCTCAATGAAAGTAAGAGCAAGGTAATGTGTATAGGATGGAATGAAGAAAATGTGGAGATCCGATGCAGAGGAGAAACTTTAGAGAAGAATGAGGAATACACCTACCTAGATACAGTCATCAACAGGAATAGAAAAATTGATGGGACAACTTCCAACCGGATTAAAAAGGCAAATAATGTCTACTACCAACTATACAACACATTTGCTGGAAAGAGGGAAGTGGACAAAAATGTGAGGCTGCACATTTTCAAGGATATATACCTACCTACTCTTCTCTATGGAAGCAAAAGCTCTGTCGTCACTGGAGCCGAGTAACAGCCGCAGAAATGAGATACCTGAGGAGAGTGACTGACCGAACCAGAAGTGATCTGGTTAGAAATCAGCGAATACGAGAGGACCTGGGAGTTTCAGCTGTAAAAGAAATGGTTGAAAGGAAGCAGCTAAAATGTTTTGGGCATCTTTGCCCAATTGGAAGAAGATCGAGTTCCAAGGAAGTACTTCGAAGCTAGGTCAATTGGAAGGCGTCCCCGGGGTAGACCTAGACTAACGTGGATGGACCACATCTCCATCCTGGGACAGCGTGCTGAATACCATGAAGGCGCTGGCCAGAGACCGGGATGCGTGGCTGGCATGGACTGGGGCACCCCCACGCTGGAAAGCACAAGAGGAAGAAGAAGAAGAAAAAGAAGAGCTGGGTCCCGCTGGACAAGTACTGGAGGTGTGCTACTGTTGCAGACATGAAGTATCTCCAGAGAATAAAACAAGGCAAAACAAGGAGGGAAAGAGTTAGGAATGAAAGGATACGAGGAGACCTGGGAGTGCCAGCTTTTAGGGAAATATTCCAAAAGAGGTAGTTAGGATGGTTTGGTCATCTATGTAGAATGGATGAGGACCGTGATCCAAAGAAGTTTTTTTGATGCCAGGCCTACCGGAAGCCGTCCTCGAGGCAGACCTACATTGCTATGGATGAACCACATCTCCAGGATTGATGAACAGAATGGGAAGCCTATAAATTCAATGAAAGCGCTGGCTCGGGACCGAGAGGCTTGGTAGTCCTGGAACGGGACACCTCCACGCTGTGAGTCACTAATGAGGATGATAAAGAAGAAGAAGGGAAAGTCATAAACTAATGGGGTCATAGTCGGTGGAAAGGCAGAGATCGGCACATGCTACTTTAAATACTGAGTACGAAGTATTTTACTCAAATACTGACCTTTATTGAGTGCCAAAGAATTTAATTACTACTTCACTTGTAATTTTTAACTGATATTAGTAATTGAATTTAACTGAAATAGTAATTGAATTTCCAATAGTGATTCGATTTGAGTAAAATACGTGGTACTCGGTACTCAGAGTAGCATTTCCCCATCTCTGGGTAGATCTCCAAATTATTAACATCGTCCTAAAATCTCATAAATAGCTTCACCTCATTGAAAATTCTTGGAATTGGGGCGTTTTCAATCGGGAGATCGGCAACTCTATATAATTAGGTACTAAAAACCGAAGAACACA